TTGTCTTCTTGTGCAGTTCCTGAGCTACCTGAGTGCCTGTGACCGGCTGCTGAAGCAGGGCTACGAGGAAGGGCAGGTGGAAGAGGCCATGGAAATGTTCCAGTACTCGGAAAAAAAGGTGAGAGCAGGGCAGCACAGCACAGCCCTTTGTGCGTTGTCCTCCGGGATCGCTTTTCCAATGGGCTACATGCTCCCCTCCACCTCCATTGCCCCTCATCCAGCCTCCCAGCAGGTCAGATCTATTGCCCTGTACTCGCAGCAGAACCCCAGTCATCACAAGGAATCCCCAGGGAAGGACACCCACTCCATTGCTCTTCTCCATCCATTCTCTCACCCCACCGTGCAAGCATGATGCTCACGCAGCCCCTAAGCATGGATTCCCTCACTCCAAGCCCACCAGCACCTGCACTCGCTCCCTCCCTGCTCCCCTTTTGCAGTCACCCCCCAAGGAAAACCACCATGGTGGCATCCCAGGGTTTAGTCTTCATCATCAGTCTCCTCCTGAGGGCAGTGAAGGGCCAGGAGGGGTAGAACTGCTTGAAATGTGGGCTGGTGGTGGTTGACGTGATGCTGATGGCCACTCACTGCTCCCCAGGGCTGTGGCAGTAGGAGGGCGCCCGCGGCTCAGTGTCAGGCAGGGGGTTATGTACTGAGGACACGGCTCCGGGCGATGTCATGGTGCTGAGGCCCAACCTGAGCAAGGGGGGAGCAGGAAAAGTGAATTCCAGCTTGTGCTCACTGCCTTTAACCAGTGTCTCTATAATGCAGGCAAACACTTACATGGAATTCATGTTAAACTTTGTAAGGAGTAAGTGAAGCCAGAGCCTAACTTTGTTAACTATTTCTAATTTAAAAAGCTGATGTAAAGGCACATTTTTAAATGCTAGCAGTGTTATGTGTGCCCTCAGCCTGCTCTCAGTGTGCCCTTCACTGGTAATACAACCCGGCCAGGTCGCCTGGCTGCAGCCTTGTCACCCAACGCCGTTTCTGCTGTAACTATGGTAAATCCAGCCTTAACCCCCTGTGATAACATCTCTCCTTTCTCTTCCTTCTCCCTCCAGGCAGCTGAATTCTTGCATCTGTTATCTCAGTTCAACGATATGGGTTTCCAGCAAAATGAAATCAAAGAAGTTCTCCTGCTTTGTGGGAATCAGAGGGAGAAGGCACTGGAAGAGCTCGTGATGAAAGCCCAGTGACCAGCATCCTGGATCCAGCATCCTGGATCCCAGCCACAGCTTCCCTTCTCCAGTCTGGACCACAGAGGGCTCGGGTGGGTCAGCACACACTTACCCTTCTGCTGCTCCATGCCCACCCCAGCGGCACGGCTCGTGGACACAACCCTCCAAAGCACTCACTGGTGTCTCATCCTGGTTTATGGACATCCACCATAAGTGTGTGTGCCACTGTACTAAGGCAAAGGCTTTCTAACAGGAGTGTTCACCCATACATTTCCTCCCTTGATCATCTCAGATGTTCAGATTAGATGCAATAAGATCCAAACCACCTTCCACTTAGGTTTTGCAAACCCAAAGTACAGTTTTGTTCCTCCACGTGGGGTGATGGGTGCCGTGTTTTCAACTGTAATCAAATGTGGATTCTTTAAAGAGGCTGTAAATGAACAGAAGATACATAAAAACTGAAGGCTCCTGAAGAAACATTTATTGGTCCTTGCTTGGCAAGAGTCTCATCCAACTTAGCTATGGTTTAATACTGTAATTGCTATCCAGTCTGATCACGTTAGCTTCTCTTTTAAACCAGAAACTTGAGGAAAAGACACAATTCAATGAGGGTACAGAAAGAAACCAGGCTGCCCTTGCTGTAGAAATACAGGAAGTTTATCCAGTGTGATGAAAAGTGGCTTAGACAGGGGTTTGTGCTCAGGGAATTTCATGAAATCAGAACAGAGAGACTGGGAACAGCTTGGCTGCCCTTGTGCTCTACTTGAATCAGGAAAATTTAGGGGATGCTTCCCTAAACCGTGGAGACAGCGGCTCCAAATGAAGTTAAGCACAAATGTCAGGATCAGGAAATCTGGACGCCCAGGGGAATTTTTGCATGCAACTGAAGGGTGGAGAAAGGGAGATTCAGGTCACCTCATGGAATGTGTCTTTTGGCTTGGCAGTGGAACAGTGGACAGTGGTTTTTATGTAAAACTATATTGTTTTCCTGTGAATTGGACACAGATTTAATTGCTTCGAGTAAAGATGGTTGGAGGGGTTCTTCTGAGATGTGTTTGTGTCTTCTCCTGTGGAAATGCCAGCTGGCACAACCTAGCAGGGAAAATCCTGAATTAGTTGCATTAGTACCATTTTTCCTTTGTATTTTTCCAAACAGTCTCCCAGACCTCAAGCTAAAACACTGTGTCCCTTCTCCCTATGTCTTGAGGTAGGTGCAAACAGCAGCCGGAGGGTACAGCCTCCATGGCTGCCTTCATCCTTGCCTGGATGCAGCAAGGAAACTTGGCATCCCGATTGTGGGGGACTTGACCCATCCATACCCAAGGATGCTTTATTAGACCTTCTCTTTAATGGCACTGAAAAGGAAGATGTGGCACCTTGTATGGCCAAGGGAGATACTCTTGTGGAGCTCCCACCCCTGTTTTCCTTCCAGCTTTCCCTTGGTTATACAAGCTTTATTTTTGATATGACCCTTATAAGGAAAATCCATTCTAAGGCAGCTTTTCCTTGTGTTCATCCCTGCCAAGATGATGTCACCTTAGAAAAGAGACTTGCAAAAGGTTAAACTGTGATTAGATAGATCGCTTTGCCTCAATCTGTGGTCACTGGTGGAGTTAACGGCACAAAGATTGAAAGGGGAAGATAATGGTCCTGTGCTGTTTAATGTGTGATGCTGAGGGCTAAATTCTGGTGGTGTGAGGCACATTTGCTGTTGTGCCCAATCACTGTGCAAAGGCTGAGCAGCTTTCCTTAGGGATTTGCTTGGTCCTGGCTCATCGTTTTTATCCCCTGCTTGAAGAGGTAAGGACTGTGTCCTTTTCTTGCATTGCTTTCTGTATCATGGTTTGGATTGATGGATCCAGCAAATCACTCCTCTCTTGGGAGCATCCATGCCATACTCAGCAGTGCCTGCCAAGACCTGCTCTTTCTCCAGCTGCTACACTTAAAATCTTAAAACCTTTTACATTTTGTTGTATACCCCTGAACTGTCACAACAAACAGTGTGGAGGTGGGAGGTTGTATCATCGCTCGGTGGTGTTGGAGCTGGAGGGGGAGCCTGCCAAGTTCAGCTCTCGTGGGTTAGCCACAGGAGCCTGTCATAAATATTTTAGTAACACAATTATTTTAACTTCATTTTAATGGAGGGTTCAAGCTGTTCATTGAACTTGAAGTGGTTTTACAGCAGTGTGCTTCCATGTGCTGCTTGCAGCTAGGAGAAGACAGTGTGAAATGTTAATTGGCTTTGTCTGGGAAAGGAACAAGGATTTAACTTGATGGGCTTTCTGCTAATGGTCCACACGGGGATAGTAACACCGCTCAGCTCATGCTGCAGCACGGTGTAGAGGTGGGTGAGTTCCACCAGTGCCTTCTGCCTCCCTGTGCCACCATCGGACCTGCACCTCCACCGCTGCGGTCCCCATCCTGGGGATGACATGAGGTGGTGGCCTTGCCCTTGGCAGAGGGCAAACGGGGACAAGGCGCATCAAGGGGGTTCAGTCCGGACGTGGGCGCAAGCTGGGGCTTTCCTGTTTGTTGTGCTCTGTGGTTGTGTTGTGTGGGGTTTGTTCGCAAAGGAGGGAACTGTTTTGAAAGCGCTGAGAACTCGGCCCGGGTCAGAGCAGAGGTATTTGAGGCATCCCAGCTGGTGTTCCCGTCTGCTCCGTCTCAGCCGGGATGGCACAGACTGCCCAAAGCCTGCCCCATGGATGGGAAACCAGCTCGAGCCATGGTCCCCACGGGTGTCCCAGCAGTGCTGTGGTCACAGGTCTGTGTCCTCCAGCCAAACCCAGAGCTGGTGCTGAGGGCTAGCAGACTTCGGCACTTGGCAGTGGTATCTCCTGGGAGCAGCCCATCTGGTTGTGGATCTCTGCTAACAGGGAAGACCTCTGCAAGGCTGGCATCGCCATGCAATGCTGGTGTGCTCTCCTCTCTTTCACTTTTAGCACCCTCTGCATTTCCAAGGCTTGTTGTGTCCTCAAAAGACTGTGTCTTGGCTCAAAATGAGCACCACCACTTGCCCCAGCCACCCCGCTGGGTCTGTGCTGGGGCTCCGGACAAGCCCGGAGGAGCCCATAGCTGGGTAATGGACCTGGGGGGTGATGGATGGTTCCCAGGTCACCCCAAACCCCTCAGTGCATTAAGCACCGATGCCCAGGAGACCCTTTCCTTCACTTCCCCATCTCCCCTCCTCCTCCCAGGACCCCACTGTGCCCGGGAGCAGCCGTGGAGATCTCCCCAGGGAGCAGGGGCTGTGTGGGAACCGCGCTCCCACGAAGGGCTCTGAAACGGAGCCACAGCTGAAAAAGCATTCAGTGGGCAGGAGCGAGCCCTGACGCGGGTCCCGTGAGGAGGTGCTTCCTTCAGAAGGGGGGGAGGAAAAACCCAAACCCAACAGTAATGGAAAACACAGCGGGGTTATGGCTTTCCTTTTAATTCCAGGATAGAATGGATGATTTCCCACCGGAGCAGAGGAGGTGGGATGCTGCTCACCTTCAGCATGCGGTCAGAATAAATAAACCCTGTGTTTGCATCTCTGTGGTACCCATCCTCTGCAGAAGCCATGAAGCCCTGCACGTGGTTGGCTCGTGAGCCCACATCTGGTAGGACTTCACACACAGCCCATGCAGTGCGGGCAGGGGCAGG